TCAAAGCTGCTTTTTCTCACTGCAAAAATAAAAATTTGGTTGTAATTACAGTATGGATCTTAGATTTGATACTTATAGTGATGGAGAAAAATTTTATTTCCTGTTTTCACATTAGGGAACTTCTGATCAACATTCTTGAACTTGGTGCTAATTAAGCTTCCAAGAACAACTGCTTTACCCTTTTTAATGATAAGCATTTAAAACCTTTGTTAGCTTTCACTTGGAGCCCCTGGTTTTAACTTGAAGTGGCTTAAAGTAGAAATTTTGTTAGCTTTTTGTATGTTTGGGTTTTATGTGTGTTCTGTTTTTAACTTTCAACTTGAATTTCAAGATCATCAATCAAAGGCTTTTCTTTCAAGTCGGTGGCATTGCTCTCTATTGCAGAACTTAGAGGGTCAGCATTTCCCTTATGCTATTAAAAAAAATTTAAACAGAGAATATTTTAGAATTTGAGCTCCACTGATCTTTTCATCACACACCTACATTTTGAAATGAACAAGTAAGTTAGATATAAGAAATCCAGGAAATGTTCTCCTATCGTCTCCCCTCCTCTCCCTCCTTTGCTCTTTTTTTGGATAAAAGTAAATTATCAACTGCTATATCAGCTTTCAGCAAGCCACAAAGAGGCTAGTTGTGGCTTTACATATTTTAAAATACATTCATTTATTCAAGCTATCCCTTTGCTTTATTTAAATGTTTTTATGCACACATTTTTTTTCTCTTTGAACTATTGAGAACATGCCTCATCTCCCAACATTCTGTAAGTCCTGTGGACACTATAATCAGCCTGCGCTTTTATCTTAAGATGGCATTTATTTGTGGGGCGTGTATATCTGTGTGTGACTGGCAGTTGTTTTCATCTGCCGAATAAAACTAATTTTTGTTTGTAGGTTTCAATGAAGCAATGAAAACAAAATATTTGACATCTGAAATGATGGCTGTTGCAGGATTTCCTATGCCCCCACTTTGCACCCCAAATTCAGGATGAATTGGTTTAGCCTTCTCATTATTTATAATCTTAGTTAACTTCATTGAATTTAGTCTTTGAAGTTTTGCTTCCAGATAGGATTTTATAATGGATAATATAAATTTAAAACTTTACTAGATTCTTGAGCAAATGGCTCAGCTTCAGCAGAACATAATCTACTTTCTCCAGATAGGAGTAAGTTCCCTTGATGGGAACTTCTGACCAGATGAGAATTTGAATTGGGTGAAATGAATCCAAAGTAGACAGAGATGAATCTTGAGTTCATTTCTGAATTTCATTTGCAAGTGTATCCAGGGTTAGGTGTGTTAATTTCAATATGTTGATTCATACTCTGAGGCTTGGTATCTCCTTGTGGGCAGAGCTTAGAGATGTTGTTGCTTTTCTACTACACTCTCCCTTTTAGTATATGCGTAACTGAAAGGTTTTTGCAACTGTCTCTCTACCACATTTCTTCCCTGCCCCCTCTTCTTATTTCTTCCCACATGAAGTATCATATATTTTGTTAGAAAAGCCCTTTTGGAAATTGCCTATTTCATAAATTGTCTGGTGACACAAAGGGGTTGAATGCTGTATTCTTGTCTCATTTATTTTGAAAACTTTGCTACTGAACTCACCTTAATCAATGAGCTCAGTGTTGTCTCCAATAAGTTATGTGTTGGATATATTGATTGGGAGGGATTTTAGAAAACCCGTCTGGGGTTTATAATGTCAGCAGTGTTTTGATTATGAAAAGAGTTGGAACCTGGGGACATGGAACCAGGTGGCGAATGTCCTAAAGCCAGTGGTGACATGGTGGACTGGTTCCCTCCTGGGATCTAGTTCATGCCCTGCACTTTAACTGTGGTGACTGGCTACTATAGATTCACTTTTTTGCTCATTAAAATGTTAAAAAATCAAACTGTACATAAAAAGATTTGTGAAAATATAAACTTGGGAATTGATCTGGAGAGCTGGCACACAATCCTCCCCACCCCCTGCCTTAGCAATGAGGTCATTTACATTTCATCAGCTGTGCTGCATCTCCAAGATCCGATTTATGTGGCAGTAGTTGAAGATGTACTGAGGCTGGTTGTTTAAAAGAGCTTGTGTAGGTAAGAGAAATGGGGGAGAGAACAAGAAAATTACCGTGTACAAAGAAAGTTCCCTAGCCAAAGACATAGGTTCTATAGAGAAAAAAGGGTTGGTAATGGGTTAGTGACTGTTTCCCCAGTAAATTTAATATTGAAAGACTGTGGGGTACTCCCATAAATAGAAGGCTCAAAATATATTTAAATCAGGGTTTTAAAGTCCCCTCTCTTGAAGAGTGGTACTTTTCATATTTGAATAATTGTGTTTTCTTTTGGAAAAAGAGAATAAGGTAGTTGAATGTTTATATGTAAGGAAAGCATCAATATTAAGAAAATTAGTTTATTTCAGCAGTTTTTATTTACCAAGAACATTGCTTGTTTTTCCCCCTCTCTTCCTGTCCTCTGCTTCCCAAACTAAGAATTAGATATCTCAGTTCTGATTGAGATAATGTGTGAATATGCCTAACAGAGTAGATGCTCATTTTTGTTTTCTCCTCTGACAGCCTACCACCATCTTGTTTGACTTAAATTGGAATATCAAGCTCCTGTAATATCACAAACACGAAGAAACATATTGTAATGTACAAACATGTGCCTACATTTGCCTGTACTCTCTTTCCTCTTCCCCTCCCCCTGTCCTATTGCTTAATTAGACTTATCGCTGCCTTCTTGGGTAAAAAGGAAAGCTCATGGGAGGTGGGTTGCACTCAGCCTATAGTGGGTATTTTGATATTTGTTCTAATATTATCTGACAGACAAGTTCAAGTTTGGTTATTACACTTGACATTAGAAAGTGGTAAGTAGTTTCTATATTGTAGTGAGTAATAAGTTGGGCATATTAGATTTCTTTGACTCTGCTGTAGAGCACAATGCTTTCTCGTAGCCATGGGGGTCCTTTCTTTCAAAAATCTTTGAGGCCTTTTGCCAGCACAACTCCAGCATAGAGTAGAGAAGTGCTTTTTGCACCTGTAACTTTTGAGGGGTAAAAGATAGCTATCTTTGTAGCTGATATTGGCAATGAGCACTTGGTAGTGAGTTTTAAAGAATGGCTGGTACATATACTGAAGTTAAGGGATGCTTTGTGGTATTATTTGAAACTTGAAGTGGAGTGAAACTTGTAAGGAATTTTTGTGTGTGTAAATCATAAGGGTTTTGTGTATATGGATTATAGTATATTTTGTAATTAAAACTACAGACTTTAAAATGAATGTTTTATGTGATCTCTTTTCCTGTATTTGCCTGATAATAACATTACATGCTGAGAAATTGCCTTTGTTCTGATCCTCTATTACCTATTGCAATTTATTTAAACATGATTAGTTTAAAAGACAATACACATGGACTTCCGAATGCTATATTATAAAATTTAAAATGTATAAGTTAGATCAGCACCAGGTACTTGGAAAAAAAAATAAATAAAATGTATAAGTAATGCCTCTTAGAATAGGTATTCTTATCTACTTTTCCACTTTTTAGTTTCCTATTCATTTACTATTTCATGACATGCCTTAACAGTGCTCTGATATACATAGTACCAGTCCAAGATGATATTAAAAAATAGGATATGCTCAATTGAATTATGTAGGCGGAACATGCTCTGGCAGAGCAAGTCAGTGTGCTTTCTGCTTCATTGAGTGGGTTATTAGATTGATGTGGTTTATTTCTTGAATGATAGAACTGGTTTTAAAAATAAATGAAGCGAGAAGCATCAATTCAGTTAGCATTGATAATTCATTATTATTGGTTAGAAAAGTGCTACATTTGTAAACTGATCTTTAATTTATCACTTGGATTAGGATTTGCAATGGGCAGGTTTGTTTTAATTTGAACCAGCTTCTCGGTGACTGAAAAATATGTTCTTCATTTTGTCTTGAAGTTGGGTTTTTAAATAGTTGAAAAGCAAATCAAATGCATGAAAGGAATACTTTTTTAAAATTTATAACATTGGTCTGTGAACTTATGATAAGCACCAACTGTGGGCTGTTTAAGCCTGCAGTTAAATGCAGTCAAGCTAAAGAAAATTCTATGAAGGAAATAATAATTAACTACTTATATATGTGTATGCTATATATGTGAAATTTGTCTTTTAGGAAAAGTCACACACCACTGTATATTGTGTCTCATGTATCAGTATTTATTCTTTGCTTAATGTAAAGAGAATGTCTTTGAGATGTTACTCTTATTATTTGTACCCTACTCCTGAATAATGTTCTTGGTTTGATGTACCTGTATGTTTGTATTTAAACTGGTAGTTTGCTTTAGATTTTGGTAAATTACAAGCAGGTAAGTATGTTTCATTATGATAATGATATTTAACTAGAAATAGTGCATACTTAAAATTGTTACAGTTTGGTTCCAAAATAAATCTATGCCAGAAATGGCAAGTTCTTTATGAAGTAAGTAAATGAAGTTTTAAACTATAAAAAATGTAGTTGACAATGTTCAGGGACAATTATCTTCAAGTTGGCTTTCTATTCTGCTGTGATTTGGCCTATTGATGTTGGGAAGCGTTGTCTAATCCCGGCCCCCTCTGTTCCTAGGTAACAGGCAAAAATGGTGCCAGCAACAGCGGCCCTGCCAGGCCAAACCCATGTGGCTCGGTGTTATTCACTCTGATCCATATGGTCAGGCTGGAGATGGTCCCTGGAGGGGTGTTAACACTCAGCAACCCAACCGCCTCCCTCCCTTCAGAGCTTTCCTGCATGGCTCCTGCTGCTTGCCCATGTGTGATTCTTGATTAATTTTTCATTTTTAATGAAGTTTGATCATGTTTATTATTTCTCATGATTGACTGCCTAGTACTCCTCCCATGTAATTGATAAAGCCCATATTTCTTCATCTGTCTCCTCTTTCTTTAGGGTAAAGTTGCTAGATTGTGTGCTGTGGTTAATGTTAGATTTATTGGTCCCATTAGATGTATAAATTATCTCTCTTTCTCTCCACAGGAAGTTCTACAGACTTTGACCAAGTTTTGTTTCCCCTTCTATGTGGACAGGTAGTGTCAGATTTTCAAATTTTACTAGAAAAAAGTGTCAATAAACCTGCTATAGAAAATAAAAACCACACCATTCTTAACATTCTGTCTGTTTAACCATGATTTAAGACACCTATGTTCCAAGGAGAGTTGCAATATTCTCCCTTCCTGGAGATTTTATTGACACTATCAAAAAGTTTAAAGCTTAGAGCTTTGCATTGGTTAGTTTGTGAGATGTATTTTGTATGGCATTAAATTTTTGATTTTGGTTGTCAGACTTAAACCATGATTAAGAATGGTTGGTATTTAATCCAATGCTATTTAATTTTTATTTAAATATGAATATATTTGGCTTAAACAATTAATTTTCATAACTCCATGACCTTTGAGTATTATGTAGACTTTGTTTTTCTTAGATTTCAACTTACAATTTAAATCAGCATAGACCTATCTTGTTTAAAGGTGCTCAGCTATTTAAAAAGAATATTGCTAAATAGTGTTTTACATTTTGTTTAGGTGGCTAAGAATGGTATCTCTAGGGAAATCAGCATTTTATAGATTTCTAGACTAAAAAATACTAAACCATCTAAACATTTCTTTAATATTTACATTATGATAAACTATTTCTTGGAGAGGTACAAATATAAGAACTCTAAGATAATTAAAACAATCTGAGGTTTTGCTCTGTTTTGTTTTTTAATAAGCCACTGGTAATAATTTTAGAAGAGCTTTTTTCTTTACTTTATAAAACTGTAATTTATTAACTATGTTAATAAAATGACAAAATAATCATCTTTATCTTATTTTCAAGAAATGTGTACTGTTTTTCATTATAGTTAAAGCATTAATTTTTAAAAATCATTTATTTGCCCACTTGATTGTTGTCTCTTTTCAATTTTCTCTTAATGGAAATTTGAACTTTGAAACTGTAGATACATTTCATCTTAAAAATTCTACTTTTATTGACAGAAAGGCTGTAGAAAATACCATCGTAACCAATAAATGCCATAATATATTCCAAGAAAGCTATAAAATATGCTCATCTTCAGGAAGATTGTATTATATATTTTAGTGTATCCAAACAAGGCAGGGGTGGAAAAATTTTAGAGATTTAGAGTGTATATGGGTAGTACACTGCTTGGATCTTTTCTACACTTTGTGATAACAGTGTCCTGGTATACTTGGCATAAACCTAAAAATGATGTGAGATGAGAATTGGTAGCCAAAGGAGTTTAAAAGAGTACTAAAAAGCAACTCTGGAATGTTGCCAGCTACTTCTAATCACTGCTCTCCCTGGTTCTAACATGTTATTTTTAAAGCCAATCAACCATTGTAGTATTTCCAGACCTTTTAAAATCCTGGTACCAGGGATGTTTTAGTAGCAGGTTGATGCTTAAAACAGAATAGCCTTAATTCTAAAAGGGTCAGTTTTTGTAATGAGAGTCCTCTTGTCTCTTCTTTAGCCTATTCTTTCTAAAAATAGCAAGAAAGTAAGATTTTGTTTAGAAATATTTAATGCAAACTTCACATTTACATGTATGAATTAGCATTGCATGAAATCTCCTCCAGCTACTTATAAAATGTATTACAAATCATGGCAAGGGCATATTTGTACAAAAGTAATAAAGCTGAAATGTTTTTAAAAATGTAGTTAGGTGTTTAACGAAGAAAAAATAAGAATACATTTTTACATGACTTCTTACTAGAGTGGTGATCTTTTTTGGATAGGTATTCCTTAATTGACTTTGTAAACTAATGTTAGAAGAAATTCACAGATTAGATCTCCTCTCTCTCTCTCTCTCTCTCTCTCTCTCTCTCTCTCTCTCTCTCTCTCTCTCTCTCACTCTCTCACTCTCTCACTCTCTCTCTCTCTCTCTCTCTCTCTCTCTCTCTCTATTTGTACCACATATCCCCTCTGGATTAAATTCTGAAATGGAAGAAAAACAAAGTCCTTAAGTGATTATTCTAAAATCTTTTTTGTTATCAATTTCTGATGCTTTTGTTGTTGTTAAAAACAATTTTCTTCTAAAATGCTTCTCTCAAGTTACCTTCCCTAATCATGTTCTTCATTCCCCCCAGCCCCCACAAAATGATTTGAGGACAGAAATGTTTCTTTATGGAAATATTTTAATCCTTGACATGTGCAATAGCTCTTTTCTTACACTGTATTATGTTACCTATCTACCCTGTGGTGTTAATAAATTTTATTGATACCAAAAAACCCCCACTTTATTATGGGGACTGTATTTTTCTGTTTTCCCACCTCTAACATTGGCATACTTCCAATGCAGAAGAGATGATGATAATGAAGTTTATTTACAATAGACACAAAGGTTTTAATGTCACAATTTTTTTTATTAGTTTGTGGTTAGCACTGTCAAATGGATATGCCCAGATTCTGAGGCCCACAAAGCCCCCCAGTATGTTTATGATATTATTTAACTTAGAAATATGCCAGCCTGGGAAACGAGGAATGCCCCAGGTGATTGTGTTCAAAAAAGAAAGCTTCCTAATCTTTTCAATATCTGTGCTTTTCTACCCCAAGGAACAGTAATACAACTTTCTGACATTTCTAGTCTATATCAAGAGTGGGATTTTCACAGTCATCATCAAATCACCCGTTAACATTGACATCTTGCTGTCTCTTGTGCTGTTTTAAGATTTTTCTTTCTGAAACTAGGACTTATGAAAAATAATAATGCTGGTAGCTTTTCAAAAGAAAGTGCTTTCTCGTGAATTATCTCATTTTATCTTCCTATCATAAGAGATAAGAACAAGTGCCATTATCTTCATTTGAAAAAAGTCGAAGCTGCAGAGAAATTAGGACTTGCCCGAGATCCTCTTGTGCTTACTACTAGCACAACCTAGATTTCCATTTCTCAAATGAAGACATTTCTCAGTAGACCATCTTGTGGGGATGGTCACCAAATACAGAAAGAGGGAGGAAAAGAAGAAAATTCGTATTTGATTTCCTAATTGATTCTAGTCAAAGTGCTGGGCACGGTCACATTATTGCCTTGTTTATTCTTTCAGCAGCTCTAGAAGATTGGTGGTGGTGGTATCTTTTTTACAAAAGTACAAAGGAAGGTTTAAGATGTGTAGCATTATGTTGGGTTATGTGGAGGATATGGAAATAGTCTCAGACTTAAAGCCCAGCCCTCCCTGTGTTTCCTACTCTAGTCAAGGAAGTATTATAAAGACATATTAAACAACACCTATCCAAAGGATAGTGAGGTTAGAGAAGACTGAAATGGTCAGAGAAAATGTCTTATGGTGGAGGAGGCTTGTGTTGAGTCTGCCAGGACGGCAGGAAGTGGGTAAGTGGAAGGGATAGCCTAACACCCCATATGCACTGAAGAGCAAAGCAGAGGAGAAACCCTGAGTGAGCCTGGTGAGTGTTCAGCCAGAGCAGATGGAGCCTGCTGGGGAGAGGGTGACGTCTACCATGAGCACTTGGGCTCTGGCCACAGGAGGCCTTGAAAATGTGTGGGAACAAGACCGCAGGATTTTCAAGCAGAAATTCATCTGGTTCAAACTTCCCATTTTACAGAAGGGAAACCAAGATCCGCAGAGGTGAAATGACTCGCTTACGGTCACAACTATGTAATTACGGAGCTGGGAAAGGAACAGATACTCTTATTCTCCATTCAAAGTTATTTCTACCCTATGCTGTCCTTGAAACTCTCGGTGGAAGGGAGTAGTGAAGTGTCAGTGCTGAGTTTCCTTATCACTCTCAAAATTTTTTCATTGTTGTTGATGAAAGCAGTCTCTTAAAAAAAGACTTAAACCATTCCATATTGTGGTCGCTACTTGTTTGCACTCAATAGCTGACAGTCAGCTTCAGTTAGTCAAGGCAGTCAAGAGATGCATCGGATGATGGAAAAGCTATTCCTTTCCATGTTTGCACTTTACTCTCTTTCAGAATCGAGAAAGTCAGGTACCATTAACTTGCCCAGTAAATTTTACTGGCACACACAAATGACAGGAGCATGGAATGAAATGCCATAATCTTTTCAGGGGCAGAGGCACCTTCTAATGGTTCAGGATATAACCACAGATGCAAATGTGGCTCAAATACTACTTACCATGTTGTTATGTATCTGTTTTGTGCCAGGCATTGTGCTGTGTTCTTTTCCTACACTAAACTGTTACATGTTAGCAAGTTTACACTTAGCCTCATGCCACATAGGAGGAAACGGAGGCTTGGTTAGGTTCAATATCTGGCTCAAGGTCCCAGGACTAGTAAATAGTGGAGCACTCATTTGTCTCACCCCCCCCATTCCATCATAATTTTTCTCTTATACCACACTGCCTGCATTTACATTCCATCACAGCATAAATAAAGTGACTACACAAACTTTATTTATTTCGAAAGCAATATATATATTTATTATAGAGAAGTAGAAAATTTAGATAACTGAAGAAAACAAAACCCACTCAGAGCAACATGATTAGTACGTTAGTGTCTTAACTTCCCAGACCTCTCCACTATGTATTCACCATGTTGTGCTTTCCAAACCTGAGTCTATTTGGCACACTTAGTCCCTTGGTTTAGCTTAAACTATAGGTTCAGCTGTGCCCCCTATTATTTTCTACTGCATTAGGTAATGATGAAGCAATTGGGCCTTGGTGGACAGAATGTTGGGGGGTAGCAACCAGGAGATCTAGGTTTTAGTTTTGGTTTTACCACTGATTGCTCTGTGCTGTGAAGCAAGTGGCATTTCTGCTGAGGGCCTTCGTTTGTTCACGAATAAAATGTGGGAATTGGACTAGATCTCTGCTGTTCTTTCGGCTTTGATACATTTTAACTCTACAGTCATGATTTATGTTGACTTTGTCAGGCTCATGTAGAGGAGGGAGTGGATAGATTTCTGTTTTTAGAATCGTCAGGTGAGTTTAACTCGCAGTGTGTGCCCTACTGTTGGTCCTCAAACATTTTGGTCAATGCCATTCTTGCCATTTGGATCTTTGAATAGGAAGGTGAGAAACTGGAGGCTTAGGCAAATGTAAGGTGTGTTGAT